GCGATATATATATATATATATATATATATATACTGAAAATAAAATATTTAGAAATTAAATGACATTCGTTAAGACTTACACTGTTGGTTCACGAGGCGGCAAAACATTCTTCTGTCCAACACTTTCAACAACTGACCGACCGTCAATGGGACAGGCATCTTTGACCCAGAGTAACCAGTTGTCGATACAGTCCTTATGAAACTGAATATTCAAAAACAGAAAACAAAATACGTTCAGTCGAGAAACTTGTTCTTTGCAATTTCCGCGTCAACTGGGTTCGGGTGTGACTTGCTGGTTAGTGTGGTCAGACTCTGAATCTGGGAGTTCACGTTTTGTGACCGTTGCAGTAAAAATGTGAAACGTGTTTCGTATTCAGTGGTTGTGGAGGCGAGCGGCCAAAGCCTAAAAACTTACATATTTATGGAATTTAATCTCCCATTCTCTAATATGGGTTTGTTTGTTTGCTATAGATTTCGCGCAAAGCTACACGAATAGTGAAATTGACCGTAACATTATAACGCCCCACTTTGTATCTACATGATAACTTTACCTTGTGTCTACATGGTAATTTGACCTTGTGTCTGCATGGTAACTTGACCTTGTGTCTACATGACAGTTTGATCTTGTGTCTACATGGTAATTTGACCTTGTGTCTGCATGGTAACTTGACCTTGTGTCTACATGACAGTTTGATCTTGTGTCTACATGACAATTTGATCTTGTGTCTACATGATAACTTTACCTTGTGTCTACATGGTAACTAGACCTTGTGTCTACATGGTAACTTTACCTTATGTCTACATGGTAACTTGACCTTGTGTCTACATGATAATTTTACCTTATGTTTACAAGGTAACTTTACCTCATGTCTACATGGTAACTAGACCTTGTGTCTACATGGTAACTTGACCTTGTGTCTACATGATAACTTTACCTTGTGTCTACATGGTAACTTAACCTTGTGTTTACATGACAGTTCGACCTTGTGTCTACATGATAACTTTACCTCATGTCTACATGGTAACTAGACCTTGTGTCTACATGGTAACTTTACCTTATGTCTACATGGTAACTTGACCTTGTGTTTACATGATAACATGAACTTATGTTTACATGATAACATTGTGTCTACATGATAATTTGATCTTATGTTTACAAGGTAACCTTGTGTCTACATGACAATTTTACCTTGTGTTTACATGATAATTTTACCTTATGTTTACAAGGTAACTTTGCCTTGTGTCTACATGGTAACTTGAACTTATGTTTACATGGTAACCTTGTGTCTACATGGTAACTTGACCTTATGTCTACATAGTAACTTGACCTTGTGTTTACATGACAATTTGACCTTGTGTGTACATGATAACTTGAACTTAGGTTTACATGATAACATTGTGTCTACATGATAATTTGACCTTATGTTTACATTGTGTCTACATGGTAACTTGAACTTATGTTTACATGGTAACCTTGTGTCTACATGATAATTTGACCTTATGTTTACAAGGTAACTTTACCTTGTGTCTGCATGGTAACTTGAACTTATGTTTACATGGTAACATTGTGTCTACATGATAATTTGACCTTATGTTTACAAGGTAACTTTACCTTGTGTCTGCATGGTAACTTGAACTTATGTTTACATGGTAACCTTGTGTCTACATGATAATTTGACCTTATGTTTACAAGGTAACTTTACCTTGTGTCTACATGGTAACTTGCGTATAAGCTGTGCTTCTTTGTAGGGCCTGAGACATATACAACATTGCTGACCCGGAAGTAATAGCCTGCCGGTCTTGTAGACCCGGGTTACGGGTAACAAGTTGACCACGTGTTCTTGTGACCTGATTGAAGTTTCATGTGAGGTCTCGATGCTGAAGGAAAAAAAAATGATAGTTTACGGTAATTAAACTCCACTAAATGTTAACTTCTCACAAGTAAATTGATGTAAAATATATTTTGTTGTAATCGTGTTATACATATATATATATATATAATCACAAATGTCTCTACAGTTTTTAATTTAAAAACAGAACACATTAAAAACGTTATATCTTGCACATTACAAGATATATTTGTTTCTGAAACAACTGAAAATAATTCAAACACAAGTTGTAGAAAGTAACATATAAGAAATAAAACCGTTTTTCATTAATAATAAATTTAATCCAATAAACTTTACATCTGTAAAGCTTGGAATACATAGAGATGTAGAGAAGAATAACACATAAAAGAGGGAAATAAATAAATAAAAACAAGAAATCAATTTACTTAATGAAAGAGTATATATTAATTAATAGTACAGATTGATTACTTCTTAATTTCGACACTTATCTTAAGACAAAAACTTATGATATACAGATATACCTACACGGTGAAAACGAGACAAACGTTTACACAGTTCCTTTAATTAACAATACACGCGCACACCGCTTAACTTTAAATGAAAAATATTAGCTTGCTATACACGGCGAACATGAATCGGTTATTTTGTAGGGTTAAAAATGATGAACGTTTATTTTCTGATAGACAGTTCAAAAGTAGGAATTAAGTATTATAGCAATTCTTTCTTAGTTAAACATATTGAAAAAAAAACAAAAACACTTTAGGGCAGCATTCAGTTTTCATTATTTTCTCGCCTGACCAAAATAACTAATTACATGACTAAGGAAAGAATCCTATCACGTGACTGGAGGGGCCTATCACGTGACTGAGAGGGGCCTATCACGTGACTAAAGGAAAATAATCCTATCACGTGACTGGATAGGCCTATCACGTGACTAAGGGAATAATCCTATCACGTGGC